GGTGAGCCCTGCCAGGGCGTGGGCTGACAGGGGGGCACTACCTGTCCCCACAGCCTCTGTCTGCCTGACGTTGCGGCCCTGCCTGAACGGGGGGAAGTGTATCGAGGACTGCATCACAGGGAACCCCTCCTACACCTGCTCCTGCCTGGCCGGCTTTACTGGGAAGAGGTGCCATGTTGGTGAGTGTCAGCCCTGAGCTCCAGACACTTTGCTGTGGGGAGCAGGTCTCGCTCCTGGTCTCACCACCATGTGCTGGCAGTCTTTGTCCCTGTGGCTGTCCCTGTCCCTGCCCTGAGCTCCAGCCCCCACCCGGGGCTCTGTTTCAGATGTGGATGAGTGTCTCTCCCATCCGTGTCAGAATGGAGCCACCTGCCTCAACGGTGCCGGCATCTTCAGCTGCAGGTGCCCGCCCGGCTTCAGAGGTGCCAGCTGTGAGGCCGGTGAGTGTGGGGCTGTTGGCACGGTGGGGCTGGCTCTTTGCCATGCTTGAAGAGCAGAGACCCCAGGTTTGGGGGGCACGGCTGTTCTTGGGGAGGGCTCTTCAAGACCAGGGCTCCTGCAGCAGCTGCTGGGCTTGAGTGGTTTGCAATGGGTGCCGAGCACTGCCAGCTTGGATTTCAGCTTGCTGCAGGCAAAGGAAACTTTGCTCTGGCCGTGAGCCCTTCCTGCCACTGGCAGCCCACTCCACTGAGGGCTTGGCTCCATGCTGCCACTGGCACCTCTCCCCGCCACCACTCCCTGAGTGAGAAAAGCTGGTGATTAGTGATTAAATGGAAGTCTCAGAGGCCCTGCTTTCACAGGCGATGCTCTCGTCCTGAGCCCTCTGAAGCCAGTGGAGACTCCTCATCTCTGGCAGGGGCTGTTGTGGCAGTTTCCCTCGCTACTGATCTCCTCCTGCCGGTGGAAGTGCTGCCAAAGCATTTGGCTCCCAGCAAGCCTCCGTGCTGGTGGAGAAAGAGAGCAGGGAGTTGACTTTTGGGGAAGGGAGGGAGGGAGAAACACCCAGCACGGCGCACTGGCATCCAAGAGGCGTGAAAGGGCTGAGCTGCTCAAGGAAGTGTTTTGGGAAGAGCTGCGGCTGGGGATGCGGCTGCTGTCTTCTGCCAGAGGGTGCATTGGTAGCTCTGAGCTGCACTCTTTGCCCTGCCCTGGCATTGCCATGTGTGCAGAGGATGCCAGGTACTGGTCCTGTGCCTGGGTTGATCCCCCACCCCTCTCTTTTTTTCGGTGTCCCACTGCAGAAGAATTGCCGTGTGAGAGCAGGGTGTGCCAGAACGGTGGGAGGTGCCAGGCAGTGAACGGGACAGCGGCGTGCTTGTGCCAGCCAGGGTACACAGGGGTGGACTGCCAAGCAGGTGGGTGACAGGAGCAGGGGGACATGGTGACATTTCATACCACCCTGCTTCACCCCAGCCACAGTTTTGGGAGGGGAGTGCTTGGTGCTGCCAGTAGCACTGATTTCTTTTTTTTTTTTCTGGCCATCGCCTTCCTCCTCCTGAGCATCGTCCGGGATGGGAGGCAGTGGGTGAACCAGCAGTGCCCACGCATCCCTGACCACCCCTTTCTGGCCTCCCCTTGCAGAGGTGAATGAGTGTGAGTCCAGCCCGTGCCTGAATGGTGGGCACTGCATTGACCTGGTTGATAACTATACCTGTGTGTGCCTGGAGCCCTTCGTGGGACAGCGCTGCGAGACAGGTGCCTGCTCCTGCCTGTGCCCCAGGATGACCCATGCCAGGGACTGTGTCCCCCATGGTCCAGTGGCCATCACAGCCCCTCTCCTAGGGCTGGGCTCTGCTTGTCACTTGCTTGCTTGCTTTCCCCCCACAGACTCATCTTTCTGTGAGGACCAGAGCTGCCGGAATCGGCAAACGTGCAACTACATCCGTCCTGGCCGCTACATCTGTACCTGCTCCCCAGGTTATTATGGCAACAACTGCCAGTATGGTGAGTGGAGGCACGCCTCGCCCAGCCTGGCATGGGAGCTGGTTTCGGGCAGGAAAGGGTGGATGGCTAAAAAGGGTCTGCGTCAGCTGAAGGCACTACCAAAAGCTGGCGGGCAGTGTGTCTAGAGGCATCATGGTGCTGCTGGAAAGGAGCTCCTTCCATTGGGGATGCTTGGGCATGGTGGGGTTTCTAGTGTGAAGCTGGGCTAGTCCAGCTCTGCCTTGGCTCCCCCAGGACAGAGGGTGTTCCAGCCCCAGGCTGGGATGGCTCTGGCTCAGCCTCTCCCTTCCCCGCAGGCGGGCCCCGTGTGCCTGGCGCCTGTCTCTCCCACCCATGCCAGAATGCGGGCAGCTGCCTGGAGACAGAGCAGGGCTATGTCTGCGAATGTCGGGAGGGCTACACCGGGCAGGACTGTCGAGACAGTGAGTATGGGGGGGCGGCGTGGTCTCTCCGGTGAGGTGTCGTGTGTCTAGGAGAGCCCTTGTGCTCCTGGGAGGGAGAAGCAGCAACCCCAGAAAGCCCATTCAGGGCTTCTGGACTGAACAGACGGTCCTTCACG